GGCCTGATGAGATTTGCCAAGGCATCGTGGGTGGCTCACGACGTCAAGCTGTTTATCGTTGACATCTGAGTTGGCACGCTCCAAGATCTTCCAACGGTTGTCTCCCGACGGGGCACTTCCCTCCGTGGGCATGAACCCCTGTATGGGGCTGTGAGGAGGGAGCTTGGAGGGAGGACTTCTTCGAACATCGCTGATGGGTCTTCTTCTCCTTCTTCTTCATCTCCTCCTCCTCCTCCTCCTCCTCCTCCTCCTCCTCCTCCTCCTCCTCCCCCTCCTCCTCCTCCGAGGCCCGAGCCCCCAGGGGGGTGGGGCGTTTCTGCCTATGCCGTCCTCTCTCCCTCGAGGCCTGGCGGCCGCAATCCCCGACCTGGTGGGCTCGTCGACCAGGCCCACCGTCTCGGGCTCGACTCGGGAACGTAATTAGGCCGGGGGGGGGCGCTCCTCCTCGACAAAGGGTGCGTCTGAACGGCCCCCTGCGGCCCAGGGGATGCATCCCCGCGCTCCCGCCCCAACAGATCCGGCACCTCGACTTTCTCGGTGCGGGGCCCCCGGAAGTCCCGACCCTCTCCTCATGGGGAGGTTGCTCGCCCCGGACCGAGCTCTGGCGGTCCCGGGGCCCGAGCCCTCGGAGGCCGAAAACTACGAAACGCCCCCCGCCTGGAGCTTCTCGATGCGCCGGACGTCCGGGCCGAGCTTCTAACTCCTGCCGTGATCGGTCCGCTTCTCTCCGCGGCAACTTTTGAACAGGGACCGACCGTCCTGGCATTCCTATAGGCCTACCACGACATGTTCCTAGAGCCCACGAATGTTCCAAGAACAAGAAGAACAATGTTCTTAGAACATAAAGCCCGATGGGTTGAAACACGACGGTCCCAGCCAAAACTGTTCTAAGCACATCTCGTGGAACCCCAAAAAAGGCTCTCAAAACATTCCGTGGTCGGCCTCTACGCGAGCCAGGAGGCTCCGCCAGTGCTTGAAAACCGCAGCACGCCACCGCGGCGGCCGGCTCCCGCCTGGGCATCCTGGCCCCAGGGAGCCGGCCACGGGGGGGATCGGAGCTCGAGAAGGCGGAGGGCCAGGGCATCGAGAGGGTTCGAGGAGCATCGAGGACAGGGATTCGAGGAGGATTCGAGGAGGATCGAGGGGGATCCAGGATCGAGGAGGATCGAGGAGGATTCGAGGAGGATCGAGGAGCATCGATGGGGGAGCGACGATCCAGGATCGGAGGGAGGCGCTGGGCGCGCCCCGTCGGCGCAGGGGCGGCGGCTCCTGTCTTGTCCCCCCGCCGGGGGCAGGCGCCCTGGCCCCCCACGGCGTGGGAGTAGCCCGCGCCGCCGCCGTTGACGGAGCGGTGCGAGGGCTCGTCCGAGTCCTCCTGCCCCCCCTCCTCCTCCTCCTCCTCTTCCTCCTCCTCCTCCTCCTCCTCCTCCTCCTCCTCCCCCTCTCCTCCTCCCCCTCCTGCTCCTCCTCCTCCTCCCTCCTCTCCTCTCCTCCTCCCTCCTCCTCCTCCTCCTCCTCTCTCCTCCTCCTCCTCCCTCCTCCTCCTCCTCCTCCTCCTCCTCACCCTCCTCCTCCCCATCCTCTCTCTTCCTCCTCCTCCCTCCTCCCCTCCTCCTCCTCCTCCTCCTCCTCCTCCTCCTCCGCCTCCTCTTCGTCCATCTCCTTCTCTCCTCTCCCCCCCTTCCATCCCGCCCTCCGCTCTTCCCTGCTCCCCTCTGAGCTGGGAGCCCCCTGTGTCTGGAGGGGCCCAGAAGCAGCACAAGCACAAGCTCTTGACCGGCCGCGCGGAGATTTCTTGGATCTGCGCGGGACGCCCCGTTGGCGCTTCTGGCGCCGCCCCGCGCTGATCCAAGAACTCCGCGCGAACGTCAGAGTTGTTATGTTTATGCCGTTGCCTGCTCCTCGAGCTACGTGTCTCTGTCGGAGGCGCAAGTTCGACCCGAACATTTAGTACTACAAGCATCATCTTGTAATGCATCGTTTCCCGAGAGTTATGGTCAGAAAGCGCCCGCGACCGAACACATACTATGAGAGATCTCGGCGCGCGCGTCGCCCCTGGGGTGCAGACGCACACATAATATTAACATGTTTGGGCTAACCGTGAGATGCCGATGTGCTAACCGTGAGAGCTGGGCGGTGCAATCGTTTCGCAGCGGAGGTTTTTGCCTGGTTCAGGGCTCTGATTTGAGACCATCACAGATCGACCTGGCTCAGAAATGCAGCGGAAGGATGGGGTCTAGGGCTCCAGTTTTTACTTCTCGCGATGCTGCATTTTTTCCCCGAAGTCGGATCTCAGGCAAAACGATGCTAGAATCAAAACAAAATCGAGAGAGCGAGAGAGAGAGAGAGAGAGCAAGCCGCGCACATCCAGGGTGCAGTGGCAGTGAAGCGTGCGGGGCGATGCTCGCGCCGGCGCGTCAAAGCAGAAGCGCCAGGCAGCATCGCGCCACGCCTGCGCAGACCCAGTCAGTGCCTGTTGTAGAGTTGGTTGTCCGCCAGCTGCTTGAGGACCTGTGAGATCTGGCGGCTCTGGAGGGTGTCACAGGCAACGCGGCCGCTCCCGAGCGCTCCGGAACGCCCTGGAGCGATTCCTCCCCGCCCCAGGCCTGCCCGACGTGCGCTCTCGACCACCCCGCACGGGAGAGAAAGCTCCCGGGGGGTCTCCTTCCCTGGGATCCGACATCGCGAGAAGAATTGCAGCACCGTCACAAATCACGACTAGAGCCCCAGACCCCATCCTGGTGCTGTTATTTCCGAGCTAGATCGACGTGTGAGGGTCCCGGGGCCTGAACCCGATTCCTGCCCAAATCACTGGATACCAAGTTGCTTCGGTCGCGAGCAGTAGCGACCGATCGGCACTCCAAATCGGTCGCGGCCGATCGCGACCGATCGGTCGCATCCGATTTTGAAGCAAACCGGTCGCGACCTATAGCATAATGCAGGCGCGGGCAGCCCGCCAGCAGTGCAGCGCAAAGGACGGCAGCAGCAGCAGCAGCGGAAGCAGGGGGTAAAGGAGGAGGCCTCCCTCGTCTCAGTGCGCGGCCACCTGCCAACGCTTTGAAGAGGGAAGAGCGAGGCAGAACCGGAGTCCTCTTACAGCCGAACCTAAGACGGAAGAGCATCCTTCAAGAAAATGAATACCTCCGCCAACTAAAACGAAGAGCATTCGAGGGTACCGTCCTCCAAGATGCACCAAGATATCCAACAAACACAAAGGACTTCTGGGTACCCTCCCCGGACCGACCGTGATCTTATGTCTCGATCCGACTGTACTGGTCGGCAACCTCTTCATCGTCGTCCTCCTGCGATCCACGATGATGGGAGCCTCCTATGTCGGACGTGGTCCAGCAGAGTCTCTACTTTAGTCGAAATTAATCTGGACTCGTCTGGATAGCCCTATGTTTTGTTCTCCCTCTCTCTCACTCTTTCTCTCTCTCTCTCTGTCTCTCTCCCCCCCTCTCTCAATACATATGTTGTGATTGCTTCTCTCTCTCTCTCTCTTTCTCTTTCTCTATCCCCCCAGGTCGCGGCGGCGGCGCGGGCGTAGCCCCGACGGCGATGATCGCGCGGCGGATAAGAGCGAAACCGCGTCATCTAATATCGGACTAAACTGGACTACGCCGGACTAAAGCGGACTGAATTTGGGCTAAATCCCACCAGCCCTCTGGGCGTAGGTGGTTTGGGGAGTTTCCTCTTCCACCCCTCGTTCTTCCCCTTCAAAGAAGGGTTTACCTCTCCCCCGACCCCCTCCCCTGGACCTGGACAGGGGGTTCCGCGAGTCGTCGGAGCGTCCAAAACGGCCTCGGCGAGGAAGTTAAAATCGCTGGTTTTACTAAGGTTTTGGCGTCATGTTGGCCTCCTGGGGGGGACGCTAATTAGACTCCCCCCCTCCTTTGATCGATCTCACCCAAGATGGCCCAAAGATGGCCCCCAAGGGTGCCCCAAGAGGGCCCCAAGAGGTGGCCAGGAAGCCTCGAGAGGCCCCCAGGATGCCCCCAAGAGGCTCCCAAGAGACCCCCAAGAGGCCACAAGAGACCCCCCAGAGGCACCCAAGATGCTCCAAGAGTCCTCGGCGAGAATACCAAATCATTGATTCCACTAGGGTTTTAGCCACATGTTGGCTTGGCTTCTTGGGGGGCACTGACTAAGATGACTCCAAGAGAGCCTGCGACAGCCCAAGATGACCTCCAAGATGGCTCAAGATACCCCAAGATGTCTCATAATGGTTTCCTCTGTGTGCTGCCCACTTCCCTGATCGAGGCATTCCTCGGGGCAGCGCTTCTGGATGGGCTGGTGGGGATTCTCGAAGCGTCAACAATTTGATTCGTTCTCAAGTGAATTTGACTAAACTGGACTGCATTGGACTGGTCTGGACTTTGGATTTATTTTGGACTAAGTTGGAGTAGTCTAGACTAGTTTGAGAGAGCGCGTTTCACGGGCGCTTGTCTTGGGAACATTCGGCGGCGCGTTTCGAAACGGGGGGTGGGCACCCCCCCCAACATTCGGCGCCGTCGATCAGAACCATGGGGGGGGGCCCGTCCCCCCTAAACCTCCCTCCCCTCTCAAACAGGGGAACGCAGGGTAAAGCAGCGCCGACGGCAGGGACGCAGCGACGATGATCACAGGCAGCCCAAGGGGGGTTGAGGGGGGGGATTCCAAACCCTCCCCACGCGCTGGCGCCAGCGCCAGCGCTGGCGGCGGCCAGCAGAGCCGACGACTGGGGCGCAGCGACGATCACCACCACTACCACCATCACCACCTCAACCCACCACCACCCCCACCACCAACCCACCACACAACCACCACCAGCACCACCAGCCACCACCACCACCACCACCACAACTCACCACCACCTCCACCAGAAAACACCACCACCACTACCACCACCACCGCGTACTACCACACCACCACCACCACCAACGCTACAACCACCACCACTACCAGCAGCACAACCCACCACCACCACCACACACCACCACACCACCACACCACCACCACCA